AGTAGAGAGAGATCTTCATTCCTTTTTATAGCTGCATACTAATTCATTCAGTGCGTAAACTGTGACATCCAACCTCATATTGACAAATATTTGAGTTATTTACAATCTTTGCTGTTATAAATAGTGTTATGATGAATAGTTTTGTGGAAACATCCCTTCGTGTTTTTGTTATGTTTTGGCCTTGCTGTATTTAGGGTAGATTTCTCTCTTAAAGTAGGAATGGGCCAAAGTGGATAGGTCAGAGAGTAAATTCCTACATAGGTGTGCAGTTAAAAAGGCAATTTCAATGTGGTGGTAAGTGCTATAACATTCTCTATTTTTTAAAAAATTAATGAACTATTGTCCCTGTCTCCAGTTTCTCTCTATTACTAGAGGACAGCGGGCTGGAAGTGGGAGTATGTATAAAGGTTTTATTAAAGGGCAGAGATGTGAAGTTTTTTTCCTTATTTCGTAGTTCTATAAGCTAATTTTCAAAAGCAGAATTATTTGGGCAGTTGGGCATAAGAGCAAAGCTTTTTAAAAAACTTTTAGGTTCATGGGTACATGTTCAGGTTTGTTACATAGGTAAACTTGTGTCATGGAGGTTTGTTTTACAGATTATTTTGTCACCCAGGTACTAAGCCTGGTACCCAGTAATTGTTTTTGATTCTCTCCCTCTTCCCATCCGCCACTCTCAGTAGGCCCAAGTGTCTGTTGTTCTCCCTTTTGTGTCCATGTGTTCTCATCGTTTAGCTCCCACTAATAAGTGAGAACAGCGGTATTTGGTTTTCTGTTCGTGTGTTAGTTTCCTGAGGATAATGGCCTCCAGCTCCACCCATGTTCCCGCAGAAGACATGATCTCATTCTCTTTTATGGCTGTGTAGTGTTCCATGGTGCATATGTACTTTTTCTTTATCCAGTCTGTCATTGATGAGCATTTAGGTTGATTCTATGTCTTTGCTATTGTGAATCGTGCTGCATGAACATTCACGTGCATATGTCTTTATGGTAGAATGATTTATATGTCTTTGGGTATATACCCAGTAATGGAATTGCTAGGTCAGATGGTAGTTCTGTTTTTAGCTCTTTGAGGAATCACCACTCTGCTTTCCACAATGGTTGAACTAATTTACACTCCCGCCAACAGTGTAGAAGTGTTCCCTTTTCTCTGCAACCTTGCCAGCATCTGTTATTTTTTAACTTTTTTATCGTAGTCATTCTGACTGGTGTGATATGGTATCTCATTATGGTTTTGATTTGCATTTCTGTAATGATCAGTGATGTTGAGCTTTTTTCCATTTACTTGTTGGCCACATGTATATCTTCTTTTGAAAAGTGTGTGTTTGTGTCCTTTGTCCACTTTTTAAATGTTTTTCTTGTCTTTTAAAATTGTTTAAGTTCTTTATAGATGCTAGATATTAGACCTTTGTGTGATGTACAGTTTGCAAATATTTTCTTCCATTCTGTAGGGTGTTTGTTTACTCTGGTGATAGTTTCTTTTGCTGTGCAGAAGCTCTTAAGTTTAATTAGATCCCACTTGTCAGTTTTTGCTTTTGTTGCAATTGCTTTTGGCATCTTTGTCATGAAATCTTTGCCCATTGCCTAGGTTGTCTTACAGGATTTTTATAGTTTTCAGTTTTACATGTAAGTCTTTAAACCACCTTGAGTTGATTTTTGTCTATGATGTAAGGAAGGTGGGTCCAGTTTCAGTCTTTTGCATATGGCTAGCCAGTTATCCTAGCACCATTTATTGAATAGTTTTCCCATTGCTTGTTTTTGTCAGCTTTATCAAAGATCAAACAGTTGTAGGTGTGCAGCCTTATTTCTGGGCTCTCTATTTTGTTCCATTGGTCTGTGTGTCTGTTTTTGTACCAGTTACAGTGCTGGTTTGGTAGCCGTGCAGTAGTTGGAAGTCGGGTAACATCATGCCTCCATCTTTGTTCCTTTTGTCTGGGATTGCCTTGGCTCTTCAGGCTCTTTTTTGGTTCCACATGGATTTTAAAATAGTTTTTTCTAGTTCTGTGAAAAATGTCAATGGTAGTTTCATTGGGATTGCATTGAATCTACAAATTACTTTGGATAGTATGGCCGTTTTAATGATATTGATTCTTCTTATCCATGAGCTAGAATTTTTTTTTCCATAGAGCAAAAGATTTTTAAAGGTCTTTAATTTTGTAATTGTGTTTTAAAGGCTTATTCCAATTTATACTGCCATTAACAATCAAAGAGTTAGGTTTTACTTGTACCTCTTGCCAATAATGGATATTTTTATTTAATCTTTTCTACCTTGGCAAATAAACTTAAAAATGCTATCTTTGCTTTAATTAGTATTTGATATCCTAATGATTATTCTGTTTCTATCAGTTCTTTATATAGAAAAGATATTAACTACAATTTATTGCAGCATTTCTTAGCCATTTCTCTCTAAATTTTGTTGTCAAATAGGTTGATTTTTTTTTTTTCTGCTTTCTTCTATTACTTAAGTTAGGAAAATCTTTCCTTCAAAGGGTTGGTAAATAATTCTAGTTTCTTCTAGGCTATCTGTGGTTTAACTCTTAATACTTTATTTCATCTCTCTTATTTGAATATATAGAATGAGATGAAGCTTTTTAAACTCCCTTCTCCCACAAATTTGGTAATCTTTTTTCCTAGCACTAAATAACAGTTCTCTTTAACTTGTTGTTTAATGATGCGTCCTCTAAAATATATTAAATTCTTAAGTAATGTGTTTCATTGTATCTATTCCTATATATTTTATTAATAACTTTATAATTTAGCATCAGATCTTTTATTCCTTGTTTCTGGAGTATACCAAATGCATACCATCTTGTCTGAGGGTAATGAACACAACTGAAAATTATAATGTGTCATCTTGGGCCTGGGATGTATTTGGCAATTATATTGTCCAGTGGTTTTCTAACTTATTAGGGAAAAAGGGAAGAATACTTTGGGCTGGTTGTTTATTTTGGCTACGTATTTTCAGTAATCACCTTATATTCTCCATATGTTTTGGGCAGCATGCAGGAGGGTGAGGTGGGAAACTATGACTTTTTAAAAAAGTACTTGTTAGTGTCTTCTTTTTCTTCCTTGAGCTTTAAAAACAGTGACAAAGTCCGGCCTTCTCATTTTACAGTTGAAGTAACAGACTTGTTTGACATTCTTATTAATGATAGTGATTGGTGGAGATTTACTTTCAAGGGGATGGATTTTTTCGTAATGGGGAATACTAATAAAATTTAAAATATACACCTAGATACAGCATATTGCTGTAATACTTGATTTGGGTAGTTTTATAGATTTGCGCAGAGATGCGTCAGCTCCCTGGTGTAAATGCTGAATTGTATAAAACGAATGTTTTTATAATACTTCTCTGCGTCAGTGGTATGGCTTTCTCACCAGAGTTGATCACTAACTGACATCTTTTTAAAGGAATAGCTGGGTTGAGGTTTGCTTTTTTTGAGGTGGGGAGGTGCTGTGTCATCTGTTGTCCTGTGTCCAAGAGAGCTGAAGTTTTTTCCCACTTATACAGGACCCTACATGAAGGTATATATAATATATATATAATATTAGGAGATTGAAGGGTCTTTTGAGGATGGGACCCTCTGTGGCTGCCACAGCTCCATCAAGAATAAGGAAAGTTCAGGTAATATGTGGGGAAGGTGATGCCTTACCTAGCACCAGGTTTCCTTAAGTATAGCCTATTCAGGCTTAGCTCCCCAAGCTCTTCTAAAGTTAGGTTTCTATAATCAATTATTACCAATTGTATGTGTAAACAGTCTTTAGAATACAAAATTACAGCTAATGAATTTAATTATTCTTGTCTCACTCCAGATAGACCAAACTAGTATTAGCTAAAGATAAAAATCAAGTAATGTGAAGAAGACTTAGCAGATTCATAAAGAATTCTGCATTTACTTACCTGTTTATCTCTGTAGTTGTTTTGATATATGTGATTTTCTACAAACCTCACATTATACACTTTGGCATCGTGTTCGGTGTTGGAATGGGAAAGAATAAAAATAAAACTAGCTAACATTTCATGAATACAGGGTGAGAATCCTGTGAGGAAGAGTCTATTATTAGATCCATTTTAGAAGTGAGGAAACTGTAGAGAAGTTAAATGTGACCTTCTACAAGTTTTACTGAATTAATAGAATTTGGCCAGGTGCAGTGGCTCATGTCTGTAATCCTACCACTCTGGGAGGCCAAGGTGGGAGGATCACCTGAGGTCAGGAGTTCAAGACCAGCCTGGCCAACACAGTGAAACCCTGTCTCTACTAAAAATACAAAAAAAATTAGCCGGGCGTGGTGGCGCATGCCTGTAGTCCCAGCTACTTGGGAGACTGAGGCAGGAGAATTGCTTGAATCCAGGAGGCAGAGATTTCAGTGAGCTAAGATCACGCCACTACACTCCAGCCTGGGTGAAAGAGCAAGATTCTGTCTCAAAAAAAAAAAAGAAAAAAGAAAATTTTAGCCTACTTTAAGAATGTATATGTAAACATGTTCTGCTAATCTTGTCTCTTTACAGAATATTTTACAGGTTTTTGTAATGTTCATTTTTTATTTTATAGCTCATAACTGCTGCATTTTAATAACATTTTATTACTAATATAAAATATCATTTGTCTATTTCACCATTCCCCAAAATATTTTGTCATGAAATTTATTTTAGGGCTTTGTTTCTTAAGGAAAATGTACTTAAAATAAAAGTATTTTTGGCTTCATGTGATGAAATGAAAAGATAATAAATGTTCAGATTGGCTCTATATTTTGTGGTGTTTCTCTTTGTTTTCCCTTTAAAACTGGGCTGAAATGTTAGTTATTCTCTATAGTTGGGGCCTGGGTCAACTTATGTAAGACATATTATCTTATTTGAAGAATAGTTGAAAATAAGTATTTTTCTTTTCAGTGAGATTTAAATATATTCTGTCAATGGTTGACTTGAGGTTCAGAAATGAAAATTTAGAATAATACTTTTAACTGCTAGAGCATTAAAAGAACTCATTATTTATTTCTTGCAGAAATGTAGACAACCAATTTCCTGGGCAAGTTGCTCCACCTGGATTCCCAGTGTATCCCGCGTTTAGCCCACTGCAGATGCTGTGGTGGCAACAGATGTATGCTCATCAGTATTATATGCAGTAGTAAGTTAATCTGAGTTCATTTTTTAAGTTACTCACTGTGTTATTTGCTTTATTTTCTTTTTATCCTAAGTAAGTTGATTTGGGATTTCATTTTTTTATGTATTTAATGTTGTTTTGACTAAAGGAAAAAGGGTTCACCTCCAGTTCACATGAGCTAACCCTGCCCTTGGCTCCTCCCTATCTTCCCTAATTACATTTAGCAGTATTCAGATTCTTTAATACAACATTTTATAAATTCAAGAGGAGAAAACTTAGGAATGTTTCACTGGAAGGCAGCAAATGTACATGAAGAGTTAGTCAAATAAAAAAAGGGATAGAATCATGTCAGGGAGGCCGTAGCTTATGTAGGGCTCAAATGTGGCTAATATGCTTACTTTACTGTCAGTATTTAGTCCGTTTTGATTCTGGTCAGCATGGAACAGTCCTAGCATTGAGGACAGTTTCTCAGCCTTCATTCTCCTCAACTCATTCTGCATTCATTTAACATTGATTAGCTTCTCTTTACCGTTCTCCTCTCCTTGTTTCTGTGATTCTTTTGTCTTCTGTATCTTTTTATCTTTCTGTGTCCTTTAATAGCTCATTTTATTAACATATCTTTCTCAGTTCATCATGTGTTTGTTACTACGTGCTTCTCAGCACTCATAGTCGGTAGAGAGGATGGGATTTAGTTGTGGGGTAGTTCTCTTGGATTTCTTTTTTGTATGGCCTTAGTTGTTAGCTCTCTGTGAATGAATCCTGGTTCTTCATCTCCTGTGCTTCATCCTGTGTCTCTGCTTTATTGTTGGAAGATTTCCATAGGGGAATGAGCCTTTACCTCAAATTCAGTGCATCTAAAATTTGATTCCTCTGTTCTTTAAGTGCCTTCTCCTTTCTCACTTCTTTGTCAGTGATATTAGCTCTCTTCTTATTACCCAAGCTCTTAACTGTAAACAGCTTTGATTCTGGCTTCTGTTACTCCTGAAAGCAGTATTTTATGAAGATGAGTTAATAGAGCTTTTGTCCTTCCCCATATGCTACCTCCAGTGTTTCACCAGGTCTTTTCTCATTCTAAGTCCACTTGACTTCAATAGCTTTCTCCTTTTAGTCTTTTTACTGTATTTCCTTATACTACTGCCGGGTTACTTTTTTTTTTTCCCTTCCTTCCTTCCTTCCTTCCCTCCCTCCCTCCCTCCCTCCCTCCCTCCCTCCCTCCCTCCCTCCTTCCTTCCTTCCTTCCTTCCTTCCTTCCTTCCTTCCTTCCTTCCTTCCTTCCTTCCTTCCTTCCTTCCCTCCCTCCCTCCCTCCCTCTCTCCCTCCTTCCCTCCCTCCCCCCCCCTTTTTTTTTTTTGACAGAGTCTCACTCTGTTGCCTAGGCTGGAGTGCAGTAGCATAATCTTGGCTCACTGCAACCTCCGCCTCCCGGGTTCAAGCGATTCTCATGCCTCAGCCTCCCAGGAGCTGAGATTACAGATGTATGCCACCACACCTGGGTAACTTTTGTATTTTTAGTAGAGACGGGGGTTTGCCACACTGGCCAGGCTGATCTTGAACTCCTGGCCTCAAGTGATCCATCCGCCCGCCTCAACCACCCGAAGTGCCAGGATTACAGGCATGAGCCACCATGCCTGGTTTGCTAGGTTACATTTCTTAACACATAATTAAGTCAGTCATTCCCGCAGTCACCCAGATATCCTCTGATTCTCTTGCCCACTGTGAAGTCTACATCCTCAGACTTTTCCCCATAAAGCTAAGCTGCTTTATGAACCTTGTATCCTAAGGCTCTCTTTCATAAGCCCTTGACTCCAGGCAGGATATTCGTACCTTACATGTTGCCATGGTAATGGTTATCATTTGAGTGACTGCTTTGTGCTCAGTACTTTGCTGGATGCTGTACCCCACCTTGTCTCGTTTGTGAACCTCAAGAGAACTGTGTGAGATAAGGGGAGCTTATTATGCTTGCTGCTAAATCATATACTCTTATGCGCATCATTTAACTTCAGAGCCTTAGTTTCTCCCCTTTAAAATAAAGTAACTCACCTGTGTATCAGAATATTCATGAAGTAGGAAGTGTTTTCTAAACTAAAAAGCCCTATACAGATACAAGATATTAGCATACTGGCTTAAATAGGATTTTGTAGCCTGGGAACCATTTATTTAACTTTCCTGTGCTCCCTTGATTGTTAACCTCTTATTGTAGAAAAATTTAAAAACATAACCAGGTAGAGTAGTAAAAGGAATCTGTGTGTACCTATCACCCAGCTTTGACATTTATCAATTCATGTTAGTCTTATTTTACAACTTTCTTCCTTCTGTTGGATAATTTAAAGCAAATCCAAGATATATTATCATTTTTCTCGGAAATTTATTCTTTACTGGAAAATTTTAAGCAATCAAATTATAAGTAAACCTCAGAATCACAATTCTTTCTAACTTGACAAGGACCAGTGGTCCCCAGTTAAAGTTCTTCCAAATCAGTATTGGGGTGAAAGGGTTGTTATCTGAGATGTATTTAGGATTTTAGGATACTAGTACAAATCATTTATCACTGGCAGTAGACACAATGTAATAATAGCATGTATTTTTAGACAAGCCTTTCAAAACATGGGTCTGAGGGAGAGGTAGGTGGTGAGCTTGGGAGTATTCATCCCATGTAGAATAACAAAAGGGGGCATTCATGAAAAGGTTTGGACCTCTCATTAGCTTATAAGGTAATTGATTGAAAGAGAGAGTAGTGGTTAACATGGCTGCTCTCACATCTTTTGCCTTTCCCCTGTCATCTTACACTACCAGGCTGAGAGAACATCCTTTCCTGTGTGACATCTACCATCAACCTTGGCTCCACTTTTCCATTGGAATTTGTGCTTACCTAAGAAATGTGGTACAGGAGTTGGGATATTCCATATTAGGTTTATGAAAAATACATATAGCTCCCCAAGAAGTTTAAAAAAATATGGTATGGTAAAGTTTTTTTTTTTCTTTTTAATATTTATTTTGGTGACTATTTCAGTCAAGCTGCAGTTTCAGCTCAGGCCACATCAAATGTCAACCCAACCCAGCCTACTACTTCACAGCCTCTAAATTTGGCACATGTTCCTGGAGAAGAACCCCCACCAGCTCCAAACCTAGTGGCCCAAGAAAATCGACCCATGAATGAGAATGTTCAAATGAATGCACAGGGAGGTCCAGTACTAAATGAAGAAGACTTCAATCGAGACTGGCTAGACTGGATGTACACGTTCTCACGAGCTGCGATTCTCCTTAGCATTGTATACTTCTATTCTTCTTTTAGTCGGTTTATCATGGTAATGGGAGCCATGCTGCTGGTTTATTTGTGAGTGATGTTCATTAACTTTTTGTGGTTTAATGTCTGAAACTGTTCAGCACAGAATCTGGTGTAGGGTAGTCTGTTGTGAATGTTGAGTGAAGGAATTTGAATGCTGGACTTTAGATATCTGGCATGTTTTGATGCCAAAAGCAAGGGCAGGTTTTGTTGAGTGAGAATGTTTATCAGAATTATTTAGAAGCAGATTTTTTGTTTACTGTATTTTATAAAAATTGTTCATTCAGTGAGATATACTCTATCCGTTATTTAGAACTTAAGAAGTGTATGATGCACTCCTGCATAAGGTTGTCCTCTTTCATTAGACTTACCAATAGTAAGTCCTATAGGTATAAGCCAGATTTTTTTCATAAGTAGACTGTTTCTCCCCTGCTCCCTTCTCTCCAAGGGGCAAACAGATATCTAAGTTGTATTTCATTTTGAAAAATACCAAAAAAGATTTATGATTCCTGATATGTTTTAATAACTAACATAGAGCCAGTGAAGTCCATGATAGACAGAGATTTGAGTTGGTTTTGTTTTGCTGTCATTGCTTTGAGAAGGGTGGTTCCCTGTCCTGAAGTGGGAGATTTGGTCTTTTTATTTATTATAGTTCTAATCATTTTTCTCTTATAGGACACTAATAACATTTTATAGTGTTACAAATAAAAACAACTGTGACTTATTTTATTTTCTCTTTATTTTACTGAACAGACACCAAGCTGGATGGTTTCCTTTTAGGCAAGAAGGAGGTCATCAACAGGCTCCCAACAATAATGCTGAAGTTAACAATGATGGGCAAAATGCAAACAACTTGGAACTTGAAGAAATGGTATGTGATTGAAGCTTTTGTATACTTAAGTTACTGAGATTTTCCCAGCACTGTATGGGACCAGTGTGATGAAAGAAGATTGGATGTTCCATAAGTATTTGTGAAATGGTATGTGAAAGAAAGCTAACATATAAATTGTGATGGTTTCATTTGGGAGAGCTTAGAATATAATACCAAATCAGTCATATATTATAACTAAATGGGAAGAAGTAACTTTTTTTTCTTGAAAATAGTCTAGAAATAAAATTATACACATGGTAAGAATTTATTGTATTGCATTGGCAGTTGTCCCCTTTAAACTAGAACACTGAGGAATTTACCAATTTTGGCCTTAAAGATTTCTAATGACCACATATGTACCACTTCATATTCCTTTGTTCTACAAAGAATTTAACTGTCTTCTATTAAGAGCTAATGCTCGTTCACATCACTCAGGAGTATGTTTCTTGTTTTGCTTGAAAGGAGCGTCTTATGGATGATGGGCTTGAAGACGAGAGTGGAGAAGATGCAGGTGAAGATGCCAGTGCAGTTCAAAGGCCTGGATTAATGGCTTCAGCTTGGTCTTTCATCACCACCTTCTTTACTTCACTAATACCAGAGGGGCCTCCCCAGGTTGCCAATTGACCTGAAAAACTGTGCCAGCTACAAGGAGGGTCTGACTTTAGGAAAGTGGTTTAAATAACAGTGCAATTTCAAAAAAATTTATAACTTTCTTTTGATCATCATGTACAGAGGTGTTTTTTTTCTTTAGGCTTCTCATGCATATGAATATTTTAAGCACAAATGGACTACTAAATGTCTGAATTTTTTTTTTAAGATCCTAACAGAACATAGCGTAACAATATTGGTCTTCCAGGTGTTATTCATTTCAATTATGTGTAGTATACCAGGACAGACCTATTTTCGTGTCTTATTTCTTTAAAGAGCTGCTTCATTGGCCGGGCGCCATGGCTCACGTCTGTAATCCCAGCACTTTGGGAGGCCGAGGCGGGTGGATTACTTGAGGTCAGGAGTTCGAGACCAGCCTGGCAAACATGGGGAAACCCCGTCTCTACTAAAAATACAAAAAAATTAGCTGGGTGTTGTGGCACGTGCCTGTAATCCCAGCTACTCGGGAGGCTGAGGCAGGAGGATTGCTTGAACTCAGGAGGCGGAGGTTGCAGTGAGCTGAGATTGGGCCACTGCACTCCAGCCTGGGTGGCAGAGTGAGACTCAGTCTCAAAAAAAAAAAAAAAAAAAAAGAGCTGCTTCACAATGTCTATAGCTAGTAGCCTGGCCCTTTAATGTTTAATTTGAATAAATATATCTATTTTCTGTGAATTATCTTGAAAGTTTTAAACAGAATGACCTCATAGTTTTTAATAAAGAATATTATTTACCTAAAATGTGCTAGTAGCATCTTGCCCAGCCATAAAGCAATAAACTTCTCAATAATCTTAATTTTGACATTTGAATAAATAATGGAAACTTTCTATTTTAAGGGCATGTATCCCATCAATTGGAATCAGTACCTTAACAGAAAAAGGCAGCTCTTCAATGGAATTAACGTGATATAAAATGTTTGATATAGGCAGTACTTTTATAAAAAAAAGATATGCTGGAAATTGCTCAGTGTAATTTTTTAAATAAAAAGTCAATTATGGTAAACAGTTTTAAGGGGTATTTGTTCAAACTCTTCACCCATTACATGCAAAAATTATATAAATTTTAGTAGTTGTTTGGAAGGGTTGCTGAAGTCTTAAAAGTCATTTACACCTCTTTCCATCCCAGATGGATATCTCCTAGTTAGGTTGTCTGAAACCTCATTAGTTTGTTTAAAAATCCCTGTGAAAGCCAAGTTAGTGTATCATGAGAAGGCAGTAAGTTTCTTATGGGATAGCTAAATAAAACAAATACGGGCAGGAGAACTTTATCTCACATGAAATGTATTATAAAATTAGGAGTGTGGTACTGGCCCAGGAAAAAAAAATTATGTATATGATTAGATAACAGAGAAGATTAAGAAAGCATCAATAAATTATTTTCGATTTGTTTGCTTATAATGATAAAAGTGAATTATCAGGGGTGACTGGTTAGTTAACCATTTGAAAAGTAAAGTTAGATTTCTGTTTATAAATGTCAAGACATCATGATTGAATATGAACAACCAAATCATGAGAATACTAAGAATATATAGGTGAATATATAACATTGGAGTCAGAGGACACTTTTATGGCAGAATCTTTAAAGATTGCTAAGAATATAATGTTTTGACATAAGTAATTTAAAGGCAAATAATTAGAGCGAAAAAGATAGAAAAGGTAATAAATGAAGTCTTAAATTCAGTCCAGTAAAAAAAAATTTGTATCCAGTAAAAGAAAAAAAAAAGCACTCCAATAGGAAATGGGTAATAAAGATGAAAAAAAGTACTATCTAGTAGTTAAAACTACCAAATTCATAAGATGATATTCAGTGTTGGTGAAACTGTAGGGTAATTTAAAATAGAATATAGCCATTCCAGCAAGTATCAGATTTTCAAAATGTGCACAGAATCATTCAGTGTCATCCTGTTATTCCTAGAATGCAAATCAGACTAATAATGAACATGGCTTACAAAATCCTGAAAGGTTGTGCCCTCGCTTCCTGTCAGTTTGAGCTGCCCCTTAATTCCTGTTTGAGCTAGGCTGCTCTAACTCTAGCACCTTCCCCCCTGGACTTTTTAAATTGCTGTTCTTTTTGCTGCAAACACAGTTTCTTCCTTCTCTGCCTCACTAGCACTAATGACTCATCAGATCTCAGCATAATTGCCAGTTCTTTGGGAGGCTTTTCCCTGGAAGCACAGTTTATTACTTTGCCGTTAACACTGTTACAGTTTACATTTATTTCCTTATTTCTCTCACCATATAGAAGGGATGAAGTTGGGGAGAATCTGGTATTTAGTTCAGTCCTGGATGAGTGTCAGCAGAAGTTTGAAAGGATGTCATGCATGTGTGAGATTTAGCTTACCAGATAATTCATTGCATTGTTGGTAATTAGAAAAAAATCAGAATTAGCAGATGTTCAGCAGAGTGAGCTATGGCCACATTTGAACACTGTTTGGGTCCATGATTAGGGATGGCTTATTTCAAGACTGATGTAATTATTACATCCAGAAGAAAGGTCTGGATTTTAACCTGGAAGCTAAATAGATAAACTACCAAAGCTGGCAGAAATGCTCCATGGGTCAGAGCCTAAAGCAGGTACAGGGTGGGGAGAGAATTCTGAGTTAATTATGAGACTGATCAGTTTCATTTCTCATGGGAGCTGGAGAGAAGAGAATTGGAGCTGTATAACTTATTGGGGGTGGGCAGCATTGTGGGGACACCCCTCTGGAGGAAATGAGCAAGTCCCTGCCTCCTAGCAGCAGGCTGGGGCCTAAGGAGAAAGGTCCTGGTTATAAACTCCTGTGAAGGGACGTTGTCACAGGTTCTAAGAACACGGAATTCGTGAGCCACTGTTATTTTCTCTACATTGTTAATTCCCTTGTGTTAGCCTCACATTCATTAAGTCTTTGTCAAAAACTACAGCCCAATGTCAGCTGTGTTTTGGATGATTCAGGGAGGGACTGTGTCCATTCTGGGGCCAGATGGTACCTAGGTGACTGGGGTAATCCAAACACTGGTCTTAAGGCCAGATTGTGACTGGTAACAACCTGTTTCTGGAATATAAACACTTCTAGGACTTCTTACATTATTATACATTACCATAAAGACTAGACCTTCTACAGTGAGAGGGTCAGATTATGTTAGGTGGGTAAAAGAAAAGAGTGATCTGTAGGGCTGGAGAATTGGAGACATTCGCATCATATTTTGTTAACATAATTAGGTGCCACAGCTCACCAGTATTGTAACTAGTTTCTCTGGCTCTTTCTACCATCACTATTGAAGTTAGGCTTTTCAAATTTGTGGGAGGAAAGACCATATTTGGAGTTTCAAATATACAGTCCTAGTGGCAGTTTTTGCCTCACTGTTTTGTTGTTGTTGTTTGCTTGTTTGTTTTGAGACGGAGTCTCACTCTATCACCCAGGCTGGTGTGCAGTGGCACTATTTCGGCTCACTGCAACCTCTGCCTCCTGGGTTCAAGCAGTTCTCTGCCTCACACTCCCAAGTAGCTGGGATTACAGGCACCTGCCAACACGCCCAGCTAATTTTTATATTTTTAGTACAGATGGGGTTTCACCATTTTGGCCAGGCTGGTCCTGAACTCCTGACCTCATGATCCACCTGCCTTGGCTTCCCAAAGTGCTGGGATTACAGTTGTGAGCCACTGCGTCCAGCCTTGCCTCACTGTTAAAAGACTATAATGTGATGTGATATGTCAGCTTTTACGAAGTCCAGTGTACGTCAGACCCTAAGGCCTGCAGTATCCGGAATGGTGTTGCTGGATGTGCAGAACTGCCAGGCTCTAGCATGTGGTGTTCTCATCTACCAGATCATTCCTTGGGCTCACTTCTGCGGGTGGTATTGCTAGCACTGCACATTGGAACTGCAACTTGGGAAAGTGATAGAAACCGACTGCATGATAGGTACAAAGTAAGTTTGTTGTATTTTATACACATTAATATTTTGGATGTTTCAATATTTAAACATTTCACAAAGGAAAATCAATGATAATGCTTCTTGAATGTGTTGTGAACAATGCAAGCCTTTTATTAAAAATTATGGAATATTCGAAAGATGTTTTTCTTACAGAGAGCAGAGAATAATTACTCCGGGTTCCTGTGTCAAGGCCTCTAGGGCCCCTTTACTGCCTAGAATTCTTTTTTTTTTTTTTTTTTTGAGACAGAGTCTCGCTCTGTCGCCCAGGCTGGAGTGCAGTGGCCGGATCTCCGCTCACTGCAAGCTCCGCCTCCCGGGTTTACGCCATTCTCCTGCCTCAGCCTCCCAAGTAGCTGGGACTACAGGCGCCCGCCACCTCGCCCGGCGAGTTTTTTGTAATTTTTAGTAGAGACGGAGTTTCACCGTGTTAGCCAGGATGGTCTCCATCTCCTGACCTCGTGATCCGCCCGTCTCGGCCTCCCAAAGTGCTGGGATTACAGGCTTGAGCCACCGCACCCGGCCTACTGTCTAGAATTCTTAGTAAGTGGAAAACCTTTCCCAAGCACAATGAAGTCTCAGCCCTGATATGGGCAGGACAGTAAAAGACCTGTCTTCTCTTTCCAGAGCAAACCCCAGTGGTTGCACCTGTCCTCCCATTACACTTTGGGGATAAACCCTGGAGGCCCTAGTGTAGGGGACCGGTTTCATGGGTCTTGTTGCCAAAGCTTACTTTCTTGATCCTACTGCTAAGTTCTGACCCTTCCTCCAATTGATCTGCTTTCCAAAAAGAGCACACCAACCCTTGCACAAACCATTTAATGTGGTGCAGTAAGCTGTTTCATCCAAGTGTTCCAAAGCCATAGGATGAGCAGGTGGGAAAACCTTAGACCTGTATAGGATCTTCCCCCAGTTAGTTAGACTCTTTCACAGGGGATGCATGGGAGACAGGCTGCTGTTGCGCCATCCTTTCTATTACATAATGATAACAACGGTTACTTGAAATGCTTTAAAACTTGGTGTCATTTACGTTTAAATATTTGCTGTGTTCCTGGCTCTGTGCTAAATGCTATGCCTGCATCTTAAAAAATCCTTAAAATAAGGTAGGTAGGTACTACTATTGCTTCCATTCTCTAGATGGGACACTAAGATTTTAAGAAGTTAAATAGCTCACCTTAAAACACACAGCTAGTAAGTAATGCAATGGAGACTTGAACCCAAGTCTATTCTACTCTAGACCATGGACTCCAAAATTAATTAATTATGCAAATAAGGAATGTGGAGAGTTCAGCCTTGAGCAAAGGGAGATTAGCTTGTTTTGCACTAACCCTTCTGCTGAGGAAAGGACAAAAACCAGAATATACATATCTATTCAGGGATCAGGCAGTTGAGAAAGCAAGGGCTAATATTCGAGAGGTGAGATGTACATTTGATACTATTCGTTCCTCCTCAAGGGACTTGCTAATTCAAGGGCAGGGGCTGAGAAACTGAATAGAATTTGTAGAAGACTAATGGACACCAAAAATTAGAGTTGGGGTCCAAGTAGAACTGGCCCTGGAAAACACCCCAGACTTTCTCTTGGGACCCCAAAGACCTGCTCTTAAAGGTGAACTGGATATGGGCCTGTTCTCACAAGGACTGCAGCCCAGCCTTGGATCTAGTGGATGGCCGGAAGCAAAACAAAGCCCCTCTGAAGGAGGAGGACATGGTCTAATTTCTCAAATTTTCTCTCTTAATTGTTTTCAAAGTCTGTTTAAGAAATAGGAATGCAAAAACACAAGATTTGACCAACAATGAGAAAGTGAACAATAGAAACAGACCTCCAGGAAATTCAGATAGTTAACATTATCTGACAGGTACCTTACAATAACTATGATTAAACTATTCATGAATTAGATGACCAAATGGAACAACTTCAGGAGAGAACTGGACGTTACATTTAAAATTCTAGAATTGAAAAATAATATAACAATTTAAGAAATCAGTAGATGGCTCTGATAGACACAACTTAAGAGAGAGGTAATGAAATGAAAGATAAAATATCCAGACTGGTGCTGGGGGTAAATAGGGTAGACAACTATTCGAAGAGTTAATGG